CCTGATCACGGTAGCTCATTGATTTTAGATTTCAAGCCTCCAGAACTATAAGAAATAAATGTCTGGTTGTTTATAAGCCCCCAAGTCTGTGGTATTTTGTTCTAGCAGCCCAAGGAGACTAAAAAACTTGGCTACACTGAACTATCTCCAAACACTCCTTTCTTAGAGTTTTGCAAAAGGTAAAACCAGTGCCTTAAAACCTCCCTCAGGGTATTGTCTTTGGTCTGAACACCCACACTCTGCATGAACTATACTTCTCTGTAGTATCACTTTGTGGGCTCTGCCATTTCCTAAGAGTATGTCACTCTCAGAGTCTGTCAACTCAGACCTTCCCTCCTGACGATGAAAGCATACTGCTCGTGTCTTCTCCTGACAAGTCTGAATCCTTAGTGCAGGTGCCCCCTACCACCCCTGCCAAAAGACATGCCCATGTCTGATGCCCATGTTCTCACACCTCCTAGGGGAACCCAGATGAGCTCTAATTTGTAACCTACATCTTTAGATGTTCTTCCCTCCTTAAAGCTGATCCTGTTGAGGACACCCTCCCTCTGCCACTCTGGTCTCTCCCATCTTCTAGAGCAAAGGTGTCAAACTCATTATCACCGGGGACCACATCAGCCTTAAGGTTGCCTTCAAAGGGCCAAATATAATTTCAGCTCCTTAGCAGTTAAGGAGTAGTTACATTTATACAGTCCTAAAATTATTTCAGCCCTTTGATGGCAACCTCGAGGCTGATGTGGCCCCTGATGAAAATGAGTTTGACAGCCCTGTTCTAAAGCAAGCCCGTCCCTAAACCTCTACACTTATTATTGCTTGCAGGTGTTCCAGAAACACATATGACACTACTCTCATAAGGTTGTGTGGTTTCTAGGCCTTCTGACAAGCTTTTCACTGAGTTTTTGAAATTAATGTATTTATAAAAAGGAGCACATTATTGACAATAGCCAAAAGAAGGAAACAACCAAGGAAACAACCACAATATCCACTGACAAATGAATGGTTAACAAAATGTGATCTATACGATGGAATATTATTCAGCCCTAAAAAGGAAGGAAATTCTGACACATACTACAACATGGATGAGCCTTGAGGACATTATGCTAAGCAAAATAAGTCAGTCGCAAGGACTGTATGATTCCACTTATATGAAATACCTAGAGTAGACAACTTCATAGAGAGAGTAGAATGGTGGTTACCAGGGTTTGGGGAGTAGGGAGGAATAGGGACTTGTTATTTAATGGGAACAGAATTTAGAAAGATACAAAAGTTTTGGCTCTTTCCTGACCAGGTTGCTCAGTTGGCTGGAGCATCGTCCCACAGGCCAAATGTTTGCAGATTCAATCGCTTGTCAGGGCTCATATCTTGTGGATTAGACCCCTGGTTGGGACATGTATGGGAGGCAGCCAATAGAAGTTTCTCTCTCACATTGATGTTTCTCCCTCTTTCTCTCTCTAAAATCAATAAACATATCCTTGGATGAGGATTAAAATAAAAAATTCTGGCCCTGGCTGGGTAGCTCAGTTGGTTAGAGTGTCATCCCAAAATACCAAGGTTATGGGTTTGATTCCTGGTCAGGGCATATACAAGAAGCGACCAATGGATGCATAAATAAGTGGAACAATTCTCTCTCTCTCTCCCTCCCTCCCTCTCTATAAAATCAATAAATAAAAATTTAAAAAAGAATTATCTTTTAAAAAAAGTTCCGGAGATGGATGGTGGTAATGGCTGCACAACACTGTGAATGTGTTTAATGTCACTGCATTGTACACTTATAATGGTTAAAATGGTAAAGTTTAGGTTGTGTATATTTTACCACAATAAAAAATAAATAAATAAACCCAACTGTGGGGAAAAGTAGCAGCATAAGGATTATGGAAAAAGGAGGATTCATCCACTTCAGGGCACCTCTCTCTAGGACACCAATTTTATTCATAAACAGCCCTTTGGAGAAATTCTCCCTTTCCAGGACTTTGCTGTGACCACGGTATAAGCAAGTGCCAAATCCCTTGAATTCCTATGGCCTTTTTGTCTACTCTGGGCACAAGTGTTTGGATCTGCAGAGCTGACAGAGTTCAAAACGCTCAGTTTTACATGAAACATAATTCATACTTCCTTTTATATGACATTTCCCAAAAAAACAATATGCTTTCACATACACATGTTCATTTTACCAGTCATGTAAGTGGAGGAAAAAGACTTGGCAAATCTAAGTGACACATCCAGGTCACGGGTGTGGAGAATGATAGAGCTGGGAACAAAGCCATCCCTTGGTCTTAGCTCGGTACAAAGTCCATTCCTCTGGTTTTTTCTTTGAAGCAGTCTCAGATCCGACTAAACCCAAGTCACCCCTGAGGCTAAGGTAGGTACTTGGGGTTCCTTTAGCTGGCTCTGCTCTTATCTGGTCCCAGATGAGTTTCCAGATCCAAGAATAACATTTGGAAAGGTCTGCCTCACACTCCTGTTTCACTGGCTATTTAGGAATTGTGACTATATCATTCACGTTTTATTTTGGCAGGTGGCAGCTGCTTTAAAGAGATGTATTGCAACTCTGCAAAAAAAAAAAGTATATTACAGCAGAATGGGAGAAAATATTGGCAAGTCATACATCTGGTAAGGACTTGATTCCAGAATATATAAAGGACTCCTACAACTCAACAAGAGACAATAAAAGGGCAGAGGTTTCGATTATCCACTTCTCCAAAGAAGATACACAAATGGCTAATAAGCACGTTAGAAGATGCTCAGCATCATTAGCCATCAGGAAAATGTAACTCAAAACCACAATGAGATACCACCTCTTATCCACTATCATGGCTATAATAAAAAAAAAGGTAAGTGTTGATAAGAATGTGGAGAAATTAGAACACTCACACACTGCTGGTGGGGATGTAAAATGAAGCAGACCGTATGGAAGAGTCTGTCAGCTCCTAAAATGGTTAAACACTGAGTTACCATATGACCCTCCTAGGTATATACCGAAGAAAAATGAAAACCCATGTTCGCAGAAAAACCTGTACATGAAAGTTTATAGCAGCATTATTCTTTTTTGTTTTGTTTTGTTTTACTAACTCCTTTTATAGCAGTATAATGACCAAAAAGTGGAAACAACCCCAATGTACATCAGCTGATGAATGGATAAACAAAACATGATCATACAATAAAATATTAAAATATTATTCACCCATAAAAGCATATAGTAACAATAATTTCTACAACATGGAGGGACCTTAAACATATTGTGCTGAATAAAAGAGGAGGGTGCTCAAGGGGCACAGGGTTGGGGAGTGACTGCTAATGGTGATGGGGTTTCTTTTCAGGCTATTGAACATACTCTGAAATTAGATGGTGGTGACGGTTGTGCAACTCAGTGAATGTACATAAATATTAAATTATTGAATTTTATGGTATGTGAAATACACCTTAATAAAGGTATAATAAACAGCACTTCAGTTTTAGAAACATGGGAGAAATTTCAACACTGTCTATTGGATGGTATTAGGGAATTATTGTTAATTTTGTTGGGAGTGACAATGGTATCCTAGGACAGGTTTTACAAGTCCTTGTCTGCCATAGATGGAAAATGCTTTTCAGAGAGCTCTGCTAGGTCCAGACTCTCCTCCCTCACCTGTGCACGCATGCTCCCCCATTCCCTGTCTCTCTGAAGGTAACAGGACCAAATTACCTGAATAGGAGTCATCCCACCCCAGCATGGGTAAGTACAGGGCAAACCCAGAAAAGATAGTAAAACTTTCAGGCTGCTCTATGGGAGAGGGCTGTGCACAAGAGGAGAAAGATTATTTTCTTACAGGGGTAGCTGACTGCAGGCCAGCAGGTCAGTCAGTGTTTTGTGCTGAGACCCTCTACTGGAACCACGCATGAGTGAGGGAGATGGGGAACCTACATCTGAAAAACTGAGTAGATTACAAATGTTGCTGGACACTTAGGAGACTTCCTCCAGGTCTTTAGACACTCACGGGCACTCATCACCTTATCTGCCCAAGGAAACCTGGGCTGGGTCAGGTGAGGCAGCATCGCCTTTTAGGAATGAGTGCTAGTCAGTGTGTAGGTTTAAGTATGCCTAGAAGTTGTCCGAGAAGACTTTGCAGAGCTGGTAACTTGTGAGATGGGAGAGAGAGAGGAGGGAGTGGGGAGTGGCAGGTCCTAAAGGCAAAGACTTGGAAGGCAGGGGCACAGGTGTGTGCCCTAGACCCTGTGCTGTAAGGAGGATCGCAATATTCTTGGGAGGGGGGTGGGTAACAACAGCACAAGCCACAGCCCTGCGGTGACTGGCAGTGACTTTAGAATATTGATGCTTTGGGAGCAATGCTATCTACCCATTTTCTGCTTGAGGTAGTGTGCACCCATCTACCAAAAGTTTTCTCTAAACTGAGAGGTCAGCTGGCTTGCCCAGGGTGACTAAAGATTATATACTAACTGGATTTTAGTTTCCACTTTGACAGTTAAGGGATGGGATTAGATGGTCTCTCAGGCCTAGTTCTAGGACTTTAACATTTTATATATTTTGTCATTTCTAGAAACTTCATTTTGGCATAAGTTATGTATCATACAATTAACTCATTGTAATGATTTTTAGTAAATGTACTGAAATAATCCAGTTTTAGAACATTTTCATCATCCCATTTTGTTATTCTTAAAGCTACTGGCTTAAGTAAGAAAGGAAAATAGTAAGGATTCCCTGTGACTCTCCCTAGCAGTCTACCTCCACTACTTGCTTCTTGTTGTAGCTTTTCCCTAATGCTTGGGCAGGGTGGCAGCAGCAACTGTGTAGATCTTCTTTTCCTAAAACAAGGGTGCTTTGGTATAAAGAGATCCCTCAATATGCGTGTGTGTTTATTTATTTTGGTAAAAGCACTGTATAATTATCTGGAAACCCTCTATTAGCAAACATGTTCATGCTCTCCCTTCACGCATCCTTTGTTATGAATAGCTAGAAATTACAGAAAAAATACTAGGGGATTTATATGCCAATGAACTTATGCTTTGACATTCTTGTGGCTCACCCATCTTTATTACGAAGCATATGCATGATAAAGATTGTCTGGTATGACAGTAAATGTATAATTATATATAGAATATACCTTTGAGGATAAATAAAGCAGTGCAGGAAAGATTGAACATGGGGTGGGGGCACCTGCAGGATCTCCCTCAGTAGTTACACCCTGCTCTCCAGCAGAAACCCCAGTTCCCTTTCAACCAATACTCAGACCTGCCATTTCTTCACCTTCAACTGTGTATGGTCATGTCCCCACAGCTTCTTCTGGAATTCTGCAAAATGTACACCATCATTCCTCAGGGACCTCTTGCTTTCCTTATAAGTCACACAGACTGTGATTTACCATAAATGCAAGTAAGGTGAAGGAGAAACACAAATACCTTCCTTCTGAAAAGAAAGACCAAAAACCCTGCTTTCAGTCCCCATGGTGAAGTCTGTGATGCTGGTGAAGGTTTGAGCTCTGGCGAAAGCTTTTCCCACACTGGCTGCACTGGTATGGCTTCTCTCCAGTGTGGATCCGCTGGTGCAGTTTCAGAGTTGATTGCCGCCCGAAGCAGTTCCCACACTCTCCGCATGTGTAGGGTCTCTCCCCTGTGTGAACTCGCTTGTGTCTTTTCAGCTCTGAATTCCATGTGAAGCTTTTCCCACAGTCATCACATTTATAAGGTTTCTTCACTGAATGGGTCGGCTGGTGACTAAGACGTTGTAAACGATTGCTCAGGCTTCTTTTACCTCCTTTGCTTTTCTTTAGCTCTCTCAGTGGATGGCTTTTTAGGTTGCTGATATATTCCAGTTCTCTGCAATGTCTCTGGAAGTGAGTGAATGGCTTTTGAGCATTTGGGGGACTGACTTGCCTCCGTGACAACCGGGATTCATTCATATTTGCCCCTCTTGGTTCAGGACTCTGCAGACCATTCCCTTTGGATCTGCTTGGTGACACTGCACATGGTTTTGCTCCTTTAACTCCCTCCTGTTGTGGATTCTCCTTGTTCTCACTTTTCATTCTGGGGGCCTCTATAATTAGAAAGAAATATGTTTCATTTTCTGGGCTTCAAAAAAAGAACCTCAGCAAAAGAGTTATGAAATATACTGTAAGGTTTCTCAAAGTGTGGTCCTCTATTGGCAACTTGTGTTAGACTCATCTGGGGCACTTGTCAAACAAGTAGGCTGCTGAGTCAGAATCTCTGAGGAGATGGAGTGGGAACTGGAAATGTGCACAGTTAACAGCCTCCTGGTGTGATTCTGATTTACATTAAATATAGGAACCAAGTTCTTCAACCCTCTCATCATTCCTAAATTTAGGAAAGGTTTACGAAAGAAAAGATAGGGAAAAGAAAAACCATAGAGAGTTGTAATTTCAACATTGCAAATATACTCTCTCTTCATGGACACTCAGTGACCACCACCATCTCTACAAATAATGGTAAATCCAGTGAATGTGGAATTTTCTTTCCTTATAAAATTGCCAGTATATGTGTTTGGAAACTGGAATATGGGTTAGATGTGCATCCTATTTACAGAAACCACCTAACTTGTGACCACCAGGACTGAGAATCAAGATGGAAATGAGCTGAAATGGCCTGTGGGCAAGTAGAAGATCTAGAACTGTGCTATCCCGCAGAATTTCTGAGGCGGGCAGCATGTGTATGTGCATGCACACGTGCATGCACACACTATTCAATATGGCAGCCACTAGTCACATGTGACTATTGGATACTTGAAATGTGACTAGTGTTGACTGAACAACTGGACTTTAAACTTTTAATTAATTTAAATAAGCAGCCCACAAAATTATGGTCAATTGTTTTCCAATAAGGTTGTCAAGACAATGAAATGGAGACAGAACAGTATTTTCAATAAATGGTTCTGGGACAACTGCATTTCCAGATGCAAAAGAATGAAGTTGGATTCCTGCTTCACAACATATATAAAAATTAACTCAAATGGATCAAAGACCTAAATGTAAGAACTAAACCAATCTCTCTTTGAACAAAAGATAGGGGTAAATTTTTGTGACTTCGAATTAGGCGATGATAATTTAGGTACGTGACCAATAACACAAACAAATAAACAAAAAATAAATAAGTTGGACTTCATTAAAATTAAAAACATTTGTACTTGAAAGAATACTGTTAAGAAAGTAAAAATACAAACCACAGAATAGGAGAAAATACTTGCAAACTCTATATAAGGATCTAGTATCTAGAATATGTAAAGAATTCTTTCTGTCGCAAGTTCGATTCCCAGTCAGGGCACATACCTGGGTTGCAGGCCACGGCCCCCAGCAACCGCACATTGATGTTTCTCTCTCTCTCTCTCGCTATCTCCCTCCCTTCTCTCTCTAAAAATAAATAAATAAAATCTTAAAAAAAAAAGAATTCTTTCAACAATAAAACGACTAACCCAATTTAAAAATGAGCAAAGGATCTGAACATTTCTCCAAAGAATATATACAACTGGCCAAAAAACACATGAAAGGATGTTTAACATCATTAATTATAAGGAAAACAACTCAAAACTTCCATGTGATACCACTTCACACCTAAAGGATGGCTATAATCAAAAAGACCAACAATAACAAGTATTATCAAGGATGTAAGGAAAGTGGAATCCCCATAGACCATTGATGGGAATGTAAAATTGCACAGCTGCTTTGGAAAACAGTCTGGCATTTCTTTAAAAGGTTAATTGTAGGCCCTGGCTGGTTAGCTCAGTGGATTGAGTGCAGGCCTGCGAAGCAAGGGGTCATTTGTTTGATTCCCAGGCAAGGCAACCATGCCTAGGTTGCAGGTCAGGTCTCCTAATGGAAGACACACCACAAGAGGCAACTACACATTGATGTTTCTCTCCCTCTATTTATCCCTCCCTTCCCCTAAAAATAAATAAGTAAAATCTTCAAAACAAAAAAGTTAATCATAGTTATTGTATCACCCAGCAATTCCATTCCATACCCAAGAGAAATGAAAGAATGTTCACAGAAAAACTTGTAAACAAATAAATATTCAAGTAAATAGCCCAAAGTGGTAACAACACAAATGTCCATCAATTGATAAACAAAACATCCATTAATATACTATCATTTAGCCATGAAAAAGAATAAGGTACTGACACACGCTATATCATGGATGAACCTTGAAAACATTATGTTAAGTGAAAGAAGCCAGTCACAGAAGATCATATATTGTATGATACTGGACAATGAAATGTCCACAATAGGCAAATCCAGGGACAGAAAATAGGCAGTGGTTTCCAGGAACTAGAGAGGGAGGGATGGAGAGTGACTGCTAGTGAGTATGGGTTTCTTTTCAAGGTTATAAAAATATTCAGAAATTAGTGATGATTGTACAACTTTGTAATTATGCTAAAAACCACTGTATTTATACTAAAACTCACAATTTAAATGGGTGAATTTTATAGTATGTGAATTATACCTCAATAAATACAATTTAAATAGTTGCATGTGGCAATTGTGTTGGTCAATGCAGCTCTGAAAGAAGGCACTGTTGGATATTAGGGATGAAAAGCCTGAGAATGCACTCTCTCAGGAATCAAATGAAAGGAGATAGAGAATGCACACATATCCACTTACCTCTGCTGAGGCAGAAGGGAGTATGGGTGGTCCACTTTATTCAGGACCATGAAAGCTACATATATGGGGCAGTTCTCCATTCTTGAGTTCTGAGAATAATCAAACCTAAGTGTTTCACTGAATGTAGCAAATATAAAGGGATCAAGGCTCTAGCCTCCTTGTAACTAACTTCCTACTTTTTCTGAAACCCTTTCTTCCCTAGCCTGCTGACTGTATTGTGTATTCACATCACCAAGACTGGCTAAAGTATCTCTGTCATTCAGTTTTAGTGATCACAGGGCTGTGAGGAATAGGGCTGGCTATGATCCTGGCATTGTACCAGAGCTAGGAAGGGAAGTGGACACAAAAGTTTAAAGCATGGCAAATATTACAGGAGAAAGAGGCAAAAAATAATATGAAGTGGGCTTTTTCCCTAGTGAAAAGAACATTCTTTAGGTGCTTTCTAAACATGGGACCATTTTAAGTGATGAAACTCAGCTACATCTTGCATGGAAGTTCATCAGTGGTCATATTTAGATCTGTCTACTATAGGAAGCTCTGAAAGGGATGGAAAAGTAGGCAGTAGAATAGTCCTATCATGTAGTGCATTGCCAAACAGTCATTAACAGAAAATAAATCATACTTCTTATGTGTAGCATCATTACCATTCTTCTTAGTGAAATCTGTTCGGGAACAAAGATCTGTCACATACAATATTAAAAATAAACCCAACACCTGGTGTACGGCTTTTCAGAACGATGAATGCTTTGATGGAGATAAAGGACTGATGAGAAGAAGAGAGGAGGCACAGAGTATTTACCTGTCCCAGCCAATTTGGTGGGTGGTTCCAGAAGGAATGGGGATTTTTCCCAATGATGGGGGCTAAGCTCGTCCTGAGGTCCTGCCTGGGAAGGCTCCTCCAGACAAGTTTCCCTAGGATATCTCCTAGGAGTTTGCAATTGAAAGTCTGGCAGTTCCTGTTCTCCAAGCTGAGATCCAGTTTTCTCCAAGAGCACCTTCTGCCCCTGCATGCAAACAGCCACCTAGAAACAAGCCCCATGAATTAGAGTACAGCCAGAGAACTGACTGAAGGCAGCTTGACCTCTCTCTTTTGACCCCTTTATCCTGGGAATTCCTGATAACAGCATACAGGTCAACTTTGACAGACACTGCTGAAACTCTCAAAGGAGGCACAGGGAAGGACATGGAGAATAACCAGAATGAACCTGCTTTAAATACTTGAGTGGATACTCCTAAAGCTTGGGCCTTGCTCAAGGCCTGTAGTCAAAGTCATCAGAGAGCAGGCACAGACATTAGGGTTAGCCATGTCATTGGCTCTGCAAGACTCCCACCTTATGCTCAACTGTCTTCCTACCTCTGAAAACAGGCTCTGCAGGACTGGAAAGTAATACAGTGGGGACCATTAAAAACCACTTTTAGCTAATAAATTGTTCTTCCCAAGGCTCTCCTGGTAAGGACATCCAAGTAGTAGCAGGGGTTTAAGAGGAGTGCCCCACTCCTGTTCCCTGCTTCCATTCCCAAAGCACATGGTTGTTTGCTTCCTGCTTAGGGCTGGACTTTGGTTTGACTTGGGGGGTGAGGGGTTGGAAGGAATATTAGCCAAACGAGCTGTGACTTACTGATCCAAAGGTAATATGCAAGACAATTCACTGGAATAAGATCCACTGAAGTTCCCCCCAAACCAAATTCCTACCCAACAGGATGACAATAAGAATCCTAGTTGTAGGAAAACTTCAAGAGGAACGGATAGGCAGAGATCTTTCAGCAAAGAATCAGTAACCTTACTCTATCTTTTACTTCCTCATTGGAGTGCCAGTGACTGGGTTTTTGAAAACCTGGTACATCTGAGGGAAGGAGGGCTGTACCCAAAAATAGAGGCCAGAAGACATGTTTGAAGTCATTGGTCCATTTCTGGGCTCTATCTAGGGAGGGGTCCAGAGACCAAACACTACCCGGATGAAAAAGAAATCCTGGGGACCATTAGAGAAGACCCTCCTTACCCACTGCTTTGGTCTCTTGGCTGCTCTGTGAAAATCTTCCACCAGAGTCACCATCTCCTTGCTGTTCATTGGACATCGATGCCTGACCCGAGCCTGGATCTCTGGGGGAAGGATGTTCAGAAACTGCTCCAGCACCAATAGCTCCAAAATCTGCTCCTTGGTGTGCACCTCGGGCTGCAGCCACTGCCAGCAGAGCTGACGGAGACGGGAGAGTGCCTCTTGGGGTCCAGACACCTCTTGATAACAAAACCGTCTAAAGTTCTGACGGGACACCTCAGGATCCGGGCAGTCTTTTTGCGGAGGTACCCCCCGCTTTTCTTCTAGCTTTGTTATGATGTGTCTCTCTTGCTTTGAAAAGGAAGCCTGAATGTGGGACTGAGAGCTCAAAGTTATCTCCATCTTAGCCGCCATTTTGGGGCTTAGGAGACAGCCTCTTTCTCTTTGTAAACAGCTCAAGCCTAAAGGATCATGGCTCTGAAGAAGTCTTTCCAAATGCTGGAAAGATGCTAGAAATGAAGTTCTTCTGAGGATGTTGAGGAGAGAATGCAGATCGGGTCTAATTAAGTTACCCCAATATAAAATTCCTATCCAACAGGACAGGGCCTTCTCATTCGTTGGCCGTGACCCCAAACTTTTGAAGACGACACAGTCCCCAGCAGTGGAAAGAATCTATCTTTCCGTCAGTTTCTAGAACTGTCTTGTGAAAGGGAAGTCATAACGTCCTAAAAGGAAACTGGGGAAAATACTGCTTTTATTTCGGCAATAAGCACACGGAATCTCGGGGGTGGGGGGCAGGATGCGCAATATGATCTAAGGGGCTGACAGGAATCCCTATGAAAAGTTCAAGCTGTCAGCCAGGTAGCCTGCACCAACAGTTCGGCATTCTGGTTAGGCAGACCTCCGGCATCTCGCCGCGAGCTACAGAATGATCTCAGATAGGCCGCGGCACATTCCGGGGGTTGGGAGTTAGCGAAAGCCTCTGGCGACCGAGTAGGATGGTTGGAGGCACAGTGGCAGTTCGTTCCAGAGGATCTGAAGGCCCAGCTGCTCCAGCCTCGTAGAGTGCCAGTCTCGGGCCCCAAGCTTGGCAAAACTCCCGCACTTGGCTCAACTTCCTGGCCGAGTGCAAGCCCGGGCTGGCCCCTGGTAAGACAGAGTCGCCGACTGCCCCACACCCTGCGCCCACCTGCGCAGCGGACTCACCTCTCAGGGGATCAGGATACCAGAACCCAAGAGCCAGGGCTAGGGGCGGGGCAAAAGTCGTCGCTCTTCGCCGACACTCCCACTGGCTGCGGAGGAACTACGCCACGGGAGAGCCCGCCTATTCCCTAGAGGGATTGGCTCTTCGAGGGCAGTTTCTCCTGCCTATTGGCTGCAGTATCTGTCCATGCTGGTGAGAACGGTGCCTAGCCGTCGTAGTGCACCCCGGGAGTTGTAGTCCGGTGTCAGGGCCTGCGAACACACCAGGGCAAAGAACACCAATGCTGTGGCTAGCGCGCTGACTTACGGGCCTGGCGGCTGAACAAGTTTGGAGAGTCGTGAGTGTGTCTGATGAGTGCCCTATTTGCTCCAGGCCGGGGGCTCGCAGCTGGGCCCCACACCGGCCTGGGTGCCCTTTGCCGCTAGAGTCTTTTCAGGGCTGTCGGGCCAGGCCCGGGAAGCTCTCTCATGCTCCGCGGTCACCTTTCTGCGCCTCGGTGCCCTCGGTGCATCAGAGATAACCAGCCCGGGTTCCGATCTGTGCACCCGAATACGGACTCCTTCTGGCCTTTGACCCTGATCGTCTCATCCCCTCTCGCGGCAGCGGGAGCCTGTGGGCGTTTTCCAATGCCACTTCAGCCACAGTACCAAACCTTAGCATCCAGTGCTCTAGGAGTACTCACTGAGTGCATCCTTGCCGAGTGAAAGTGAGTCAGTCTGGTCCCCATTCTCATCCTGCTTTCCACTGAGTGGTTCATCGCCAGAGGGAAACCCGTTTTTGAGAGACCGGAATTTTAAAATTAAGTATGAATGGAATGGGATGTCAGAGTTCCAGAGGAGTGCTGGCTCCGCCTTCTTCATGCAACTAGCATTTATTGCCCTGGCTGGTGTTGGCTCAATGGATTGGGCATCGTCTTGCAAACCGAAGGGTTACCAGCCCTGTTCCCCCACAGGGCACATGCCTGGGTTTGGGGCTAGATCCCTAGCTGGGGGCATGCAGGAGACAACCGATTGATGTTTCTCTCCCTCTCTTCCTCGCTTCCCCTCTTTCTAAAAATAAATAAATAAAATATTTAAAAAATAAACTAGCATTTATTATTTTGGATAAAATGCAGGTGTATATAAACGTGTAAGGTAAGGAGGTGTGTAAGGCCTGCTCCTTTTTTGTAAATAAGGACTGTTAACATCATCTTTGATTCCTCTATCTCTAGCCCCTACTGCCACACTGAAATGTAAAGAGAATATAAATGCAGTTCCAGTTCTTTGGAAGAAAGCCAACACAAATCTCTTTTTTAAAATTCCTGTAGACAGGCTTATCCCTTTTGTGGAAGAGAAGTGGAATGTTGCGTGGGACATAATTGAAGATTGTTCCAGTCTTACATCTTCCCAATTTAGCAATTCACAGGAAACTCAGAACTTCTCCCACCCTACCTGTGTGTAAAATCTCAGAGAAGAATTTTGACAGGACCAGCCTTTTTCAGGTACCCACTCCTGCAGTAGGTAGTCGAGTACTGTAATGATGAATAGCCCCACCAGAACCAATGGAATAGAGAGGGGCTCTTTCAAAAAGGAAGATGCAGCTGCTATCAGAAGTGGGGAAGGAATGCTGGGGAGGGGACCAACATACAGCTCACCATAATAGTCATTTATCATCCAGATTTTATGTGATAGTGGTGGTAGAGAGGAGGGTGTCACAGTAATAAAGAGGTTGAGAGACACTCATACACTATCATCTTCTTCAGAGAAGGTGACCATTGGGAAGGTGGGTCCAGGCTTTTTGAGGGTGGGAAAGGGTGGGGACAAGACCCAGACATGGGGACCATGAGAAGGAACAGCTGGACTATACTGAGTAGTTTGAGGAATTCCTTAGCAGAGAGAAATCTGGCTGGGAGAAAAGTTATATTTTTTGATATTTCTAGTGCTTTGGGTCCTTGACTTGGATTGTTGGAGGGAGTAAAGGATAGAAATAAATCTCAAGAAGCAGAGGGAAGGAATATGGACTAGTTTTATGCTATGTTTTTTCCATTCTCTCTTCAAAGTCGAGCCTTTTCCAACTGTGATTCTGTACATCTGCATCAATCTCATTTCTCTGATGCCTTTCATCGGTGTCCAGGAGAACTGCTTCCCGACGATACAAAAAGAAATGGAATTTAATCCTCAGGGTGGAAGTGGCAGCTAGTAAGCCAGTTCATGAAGTGATTGATGGCTGCAACAGAGTCCCCAAACACACCCATCACCAAGCAAGGACTCCACACGAGGATAGAAATCAGCTCTTCATAGCAACGGCCTTGACTACGAAGCTTCTTCCCACTAATGATTCAGGCAGTTCTGATGTCAGGAGGTAAATGGCCCCCTGGGAAGCTTTTAGCACACTCTTGGAACACAGCTGAGGCCTTAGACACACTCAAAAGAGCAAATCCTGGAGCTGCTGGTTTTGGAGCAGTTTTTCACCATCTTGCCAGAGAAGATCCAGACCTGAGTGCAGAAGCTGTGTCCAGAAAATGGTGAGAAATTTGACCTGGCTGGTGTGGCTCAGTGGACTGAGTGCTGGCCTGTGAACCTAGAGGTTGATGGTTCAATTCCCGGTTAGGGCACATGCCTGGGTTGCAGGCCAGGTCCCCAGTTGGGAGCATGCAAGAGGCAACTGATCCATGAATCTCTCACCCACTGCTGTTTCTTTCCCTCTCTTCCTCTCTCTCTGAAAGTAAATAAAATCTAAAAAGAAAAAAGAAAATGGAGAGGAAGCTATAGCCTCTGGTTGAGGGTGTACAGAGAGTGCCTGGGCAGCAGTTGAGAAAAGCCAGAATCTTCTGGTTTTGATGATAAGAAGTTGGGGTGAGGAGCACAGGAATCTAGTTACTGGTCACACTAGCTCTATGCCATTCACCAAAATACTTGGTAGCTTGAGTTGGTCCTGTGCCCTAAGTCTATGGGAAGAATTTCACATTTGCTGAAATAACTTGGACATTCATACATTTAGTGAATGTTTAGAGTCTCTAATTAAAGTAAAAATACTCAACAGTTCTCTAAAAAAAAATACTCTCTGCATGCAGCCCAGGTTGACTATGAATGTGGCCCAGCACAAAATGGTAAATTTACTTAAAATATTATGAGATTTTTTTAAGTGACGATATGCCAGCTAGTAGGGGGGTTATTTTTTATTTTATTTATTTACTTTTTATCCTCACCGTAGGACATGCTTATTGATCTTAGACCAGAGACTGAACCCACAACCCAGGCATGTGCCCTAACTGGGAATCGAACCCTCCATCCCTTGGTCCATGGGACAACATTCCAACCAAGTGAGCCACATTGGCCAGGGCAATATTGGGGATTCTATATTGAACAAGACAGGCATGGCGCCCGGCCTACTGGATCCTGCATTCCTTGGAGGAAACACAATATGCAAATGAATAAAGATACTTACAGATAAGTGCTCTGAAAGAATGAGCAAGGTGATCTAATAGAGGATGACTGTGGGGGAGTCAGGTAGTGGGGCACTGTCCTCAGAGGGGATGTTAGTGCTGAGATGTGAGAAAGAGCTGGCTGTGCCTAGAGCAGAGAGGTGAGCACTGCAGCCCTAGGGCACAGCACACTCCAGGAGCCTCAGGTGAGGAGGACCATGATGTTTGATAAAGAAGGGAGGGTTTGTGGCTACAGCTTTCAGGATCTAAGAGAAAAATGGTATGAGAGAAAGTGAGACAGGAAGGCAGGGGTTATGTCATGCAGGGCCTTTCAGGCTGTTAGAGGAGTTTGGGTTTTATTCTGTGTGCAGTGGAAAGTCACTGAAGAGTATTAACAGGGATGGAAGTGATGTTACATTTTAAAAGATCTAGTGGACTTTTTGTAGAGAGAAAATAGATTAGATTTGCAGGGGTGTCCAACCCATGGCCCATGGGCTGCATGCGGCCCAGGATGGCTGCCAAGACAAAATTGTAAATTTACTTAAAATATTATGAGATTTAAAAAATGTATTATGAGATGTTTTTTGTGATTATGTGTCACAATGTATTTAATGCATGGCCCAAGACAACGCTTCTTCTTCCAATGTGGCCCAGAGATGCCAAAAGCTTGGACATCCCTGGAGAGGGTCCAGCAGCAGAGAGGATGCAGGGCAGACAGTTAAGCTGTGATGATAGTAGCTCAGAAAGGGTGGCGAGTACAGAGAGAGAATGAGGAGCAATGTAAGGGATCTTTTGAAAGTGGAATGGATTGCACTTTGTTATATATGAATTTGTGGGGAGAGGAAATGGTAATAGTGCTGAGATCATAGGAGCTTTCTCAAGAGGAAGCTGACACTCTCACTTCCAACAAATGTATCACTTTTAGCACTTCTGGTATGTCAGGCTCTGTACTAGGTGCTTTCATATTAATGATTGGTTAAAGTGATTGAGACCAAATTCTATTCATTTTTATTTTACAGTGGCCCTGAGAATATTTCTCTTCTGCTTCCCTATGTGTCACATTCTTTTCTAATACTACTCTGAGGGGTTGTAAAGTGCAGCTTAGGCAGGAATGTGTCATGACAGATGATGAAGTCTGTTCTCAGGACCTGGATCCTGGGAAGGACTTGAAAGTACTCTAAAGAGACAGCCCCTTTGGGAGCTGCCAGAGAATCACTGAAATCCCATCTGAAACAGAGAGTTCATCCTGAGAAACAGACTTTGAAGGGGTCCTGGAGCTCACGCCAACCACTGCAGGAACAGCCAGGAGGTCAGCAGAATCCTGCGCCCTCACCTGAGGTGGGCAGGAGCAATCATCTGTGGGAAATGCAGGTCTGAGCTTGAGTTTGCCCCTGGGTTCCAGATTAAATGCCTTTGAAATATACCAAAAAAACAAGACTTCAAATCAGTTGATGGTAATAGCACATAAGTAGGGTGGAGATCCATTATGTGTCAGCCAAATTCTCTTTTATTACAATTTAATTCTATTATTTTGTATCAGTTGTATTAAGGTAAATAGGTTTACAGTGACCTTCTGCAGTTCTTTATGTATTTAAAGACATTGAATATACCACCTGCCCATCCAGCTGAATCTCTTCCAGAATACATTCCTCTCATTATTTTTGTCTTTTTCCAAAGCTCTTTTTTTTGTTTTTATTTGTCTCAATTTTTCAAAAAAAATTTAATTAAAGAAAATTTTTCTTAATTTAGGTGAAATTCACATCCTATAAAATTAGCCATTTAAAAAATATTTTAAAATTTATTTTTAGAGAGAGGGAAAGGGAGAAAGGGGGAGAAACATCAATGTGCTTGAGAAACCAAGCACACCCATTCAGTGGCCTCTCACACACCCCCAGTTGGGGACCTGGCCCACAACCCAGTTGTGTGCCCTGACCTGGAATCGAACCTGCAACTTTCCAGTTCACAGGCTGGCACTCCATCCACTAACTAAGCCACACAAGCCAGGGCTAAAATTAGCCATTTTCAAGTGAACAATTCAGTAGCATTTAATACCTTTAAAATGTTATACACTCACTACTGCTGGCTGGTTCCAAAACATTGTATTCCCCCACAAGGAAACACTGCACCCATTAAGCAGCTGATTTTCATTGTTTCTGTATGGATTTGCTTGTTCTGGACATTTCATAGAAGTGGAATCCTATAATACGTGACTTTTTGTATCTGGCCTCTTTCGTTTAGCATGTTTCCAGCATATATCACTACTTGATTCCTTTTCATGGCTGACTCATATTCCATTGCATGGATAGACCAAGGCTCTAAATATATGAATCTCTTTCCAAGAAGCACTCTGGCTCCATACATTTCTAGATAGCCTAAAGACCACCGCTGCTTTTTCTGTTTAATTGAAAGTTGCCATAACAAGTTGCTAAATAAGTTTTGAAACCTAGCGCGTCTGTATATAACTCAAATCCTGGAGGAAAACTTGGTATCTTCATGGTGTTTAAATTGGCAAGCATCTGTTGATGAAATGGATAATGGAAACTTCTAAGAAGTTTATTTGCCTTTGTATTTTTTAAGATTATTTATTTATTTATTTATTTATTTATTTATTTTTAGAGAGGAGAAGGGAGGGAGGGAGAGAAACATCAATGTGTAGTTGCCTCTCATGCGCCCCCTACTGGGGACCTGGCCAGCAACCCAGGCCTGTGCCCTAGACTGTGTGTGCAACCAGCAACTCTTTGGTTCACAGGCTGGTACTCAGTCCACAGAGCCACACCAGCCAGGGCTGCTTTTGTATTTTTTTAAGTAATGTAAATACCCTCTTTGCCACTCAGCATTTTTTAAAAAAATCCTTGGGAAATCTGTGCTCTCTGGTGTGTGATTTCTGAGGCTCTGGGGTCTGTAAGTTGAGCGGGGGAGGGCAGGGCTCACTGAGTTCCCAGTCTGCTTCCTTCACTCACCATCCCATAGGCCGCTCAGATCCTAAGTGTTGGAACTTCCAAATGTCATCTGAAGGTTCATTAGTAATCATCAAAATGAACCATTTCCTTTGAAGAATTCTTGAAGGTGGGGATCTGGGAAAGAATATATTATCTTGGTCTGAAATAAATAAAAGGTCTGAGATAAATAAAAATACCACATTACAATGGTATTTTTAAGAGCATATGGTTATCTCTAGTATTTGGCTATAGGACATTCCCTCCCCTACCACCATTATTAAATTTTATTTTATTTTTATTTTAGAGAGAGGGGAAGGGAGAGGGGAAACCCACAACATAGGCATGTGCCCTGACTGTAAATCAAACTGGTGACCTTTTGGTTCGTGGGACAATGCCCAACCAACTGAGTCACACCAGCTGGGGCAGCCCCTCCTCCAACACATACAATTATTGTCTTAAAATTTTTCTTTTGATAATATGTACATATTTCTTTGGGATTAAAACTTTTTTAAAAAAGCTATTAAGCAAAGAAAAATCTGGTGAAATAAACTTTTTTACACAATGAGGCCACTGGCTATGAAAGTCTTCCTCAGGCTTGAGTGTGCATCACACTCATCTAGGGACATGTCAACACAGATTTCTAGCCACCACTTCCAGACTTTCTGATTCAGTAGGTCTGAGGTGGGGCTCGGGAATATGCGTTTGTGACAGATTCCCAGGTGCTGCTGATGCTGTTGGCCCAGGGACTCCACTCAGAAACTTCCCTTATGTGGAAGCCTCTCTCTAACAGTGGATGTCTCTCCCCCAGCCTGGCTTACTCCACAGGCTGCCAGGAACCATCTCCAAAAGAGGGGTCTTTAAGACCAGGAGACAGGTGCTGTGCTTTGTACTACTGAGACCCAGGTGAGTTGTGGTTGACATTTTTGGTTTCTTGAAGTTCCCATTTCACCTTACACTGACTGTCATTCTAAAACTCATTCTTTCCCACAGATGTTAGGGTTTTATGTGGTCCATTGAGCTTGTCCTCAGTTGTTTTCTTATTCTGTCCACCCTGGCATCATCATATGACTGCTTACCTACCCCATCCTCCCCTCGGAGGCCTGACCACCCTGGCCTTGCTTTGCCTCTGACCTGATGACTATGGTGCTATCTCTGCCCCATCTCAAGGCCAGAGCTCTGTTATTTTACCAGTAGCAGCAGACCCCAGTGTTATACAGGGGCCAGTCATGTGTGAGCACAGAATTGTGTCCCTCTGTCAGGAAAGACAGATACACCCTTGACCTATACAGAAGGCCCTCTCTGCTGGGGTGTTACATAGAAGGATGGCAAACATCTTGCTTGGTAAGGATCTGTATTCCCTCTAGGTCCAGAGTGGAAGTGCTCAGTTGTTCAGAGAGAAAGGGAGAGTTCAAAGAAACTTGAGAAGGAAGGAGACAAAGGCAGTGGGGAGTCTGTTAGGTCGAGGAAAATAAGGAAAATACTGAAAGTAGGCAAGAGAAATAAAGAAAAAGAAGACAGAGAAAGGAAGACCCAGAGAGAGAGACACACACGGAAAAGAAGACGCAGGGACGGACACAGAGACCGAAAGAAAAGGAAAGCAGTGGAGTCAGAGGTCTCGTGACAGGGATGGACAGCATGTGTGAACAGTGACAAGGGCAAGGGAGGGGCATGAGAAGGAAAGCAGTGGGGACAGAGAGTGTGAGAAGGTCAGTGGCAAGAGGGGGAGAAAAGACGGGAAGAGAAACACAGGAGACAGAAATCAGTGAGGGCATAGACTGCAAGGAACAGATGAAAGATGAATGAACATGTGCTCACACACTGAGCTGTGATATCCTGAGTGACAGAGATTAACAAAATAACCCAACCGTGAGAGTCCACTTCTATACCCAGGTACTTTAAGAGGCACCAAGAGCCCTTTGTCATTCTCAGGACTGGTCACTTCCCTTCCCCAAATCAGTTCTGCCCCATGTGGGCTGCTCCTCTTAAGAGAAGCCTCCCTGATGATCAGATTCAGAGACACTCTCTGCAGCTGCCTTTGGCCTTGATAACCCCTTCCTGCTCCTTTGCGTGCAGGGTTTTCCATTCATGGTGTGAGTGTCGTCTCTGGGCTGAATCAGAGTAAACACACGGGACCCCAGATGTTCACTGCTTCAGAGTGAAGAAAAGTTCTGAGTTCCAACTGAGAACTCTGAGTCACAACTGAGACTGGAGTTGAAGCCCATGAGACACTAGCAAAGGGGGAAGAGAAAAATAAAGAGTGATGCACAACAGCCAGACTTGGTGTATGGAAAAGTAGCAGGTATACCCTTGGGCCCTAAGGAAACCAGGACTTTCCTATCTGTTTTCAGAGAGCCTTGGTTTCTACAAGAAACTCCAGTGTATCATCAGAGCCATCAACTCTATGGGGAAGTGGCTGAGCTCTTCTGTTAACATTTCTCAGAAGTGGGTGGAAGTAGGCAGAAGTGTCCTGTGATCAGCTCTTCTCTTCTCGGAATCTCTAGTTCCCTCCAAGACTCGCCTGTTCACCAGTTCCTGTTATGTGGCCCCACCTGCCTAGGGATTCTCACCACTGTGGAGACAGGCAGGCACTGCCCTGAGGGAAAATGAGTGGGATTCAGGATAATAAAAAGGGCAGCTTTAGTAAATACACTACAATCTTTCTCAGTTGGACAGGATGGTTTGCCTTCTGTGTGATGGTAATCAGTTCTGGCATAGTTTCAGAAGATTGTATGTTGGGCTGCTAGAACCCTGCATTGAGGTATCCAGTCCTTTCTGATTGGACCTGTGTTCTTTGTCCTGTGGTGCAGGTATGCACTGGAGTGATGAGAACAAGACACCCCTGGCCACTCTCAGTAATTGTTTCATAACTCCAGAGCCATCAGTAGAACTACAGGCTGTGGGGGAATAAATCCAGGAGCAGGGTTTCCTGGGGACCCCAGAGCAGGGTCACACCAAGTTCAAAAGCCTACAGTCAGGTTACTGCAAAGTGAAGAGAGGTCGCTTGCTTGAGCTGTGTATCTTTCATGAAACATAGATGCCCTTTCAAGCTCCTCTGCATCTCCTGTGGCAAGTGATGCTGTTTCTGGCCAAGAGGAAGTGACATGGAGTCTGGAAAGCTGAGTCAGCACAACGGGGAGGCCACAGAGGTTGGAGAAGGTACTGCTGTAGATGGCATAGCCAGGCATGAAAAGGACTTCAGGGTTCCTGGCCAGGATGTTAGGGGAGCTGACCTGCCAGTCCTGTTTCCAAACAGGTTGTAAGACTCTTGGTTCTGGTGGTCAGAGGATGGGAAAGTATACTTAGAAAGGGTTGTTTCTGCTCCTGGCTTTGTCTCCTTCTTGATGAGTAACATGCACAGGTAAGGGAGCTTCGGTTTTCATGCAGTTTAAGGGTGATTTCCCTTGCGTTTTAGAGCCCCGATTTTGCATTTGCTGGTCTCTTTAAGAGTCCATGACATTTTTTCTCATGTGGTTTCACTTCCTTTGCTTCCCTACATTGCCCAGTTAGGCCTCCAGCCCAGACTCTTTCTGCTTCCCTCCTTTCATAACCTAAGTCTGTGCTTGCCAGATACTCAGAAATGCTTTATTTTTCTTTCAGCTGCCCAAACTTGTCATGGCCTTTTAAGATTCAGCTCCCAGAAGTGAAGCCATCAACAATTGTGAACACACCTAAAGACAGATGGGCAGTTGACACAGAGCTCCACTCTTTGCTTCAGTTTTGTCATCATGTCAGAACATCCAGAAACTTACAGAATAAGAGAGAAGCAGGGAAATGTCCAGTATATTTACCAGTGACCACAAATTTGAAGCTAAAAAGTATTACAGCTGGAAAATAAAACTGAGGCTTTTCCTTAGCAGAAGACTGAGGCACTACATGAAGAATTCAATGAGGTATTTCTTCTTTATCGTAGTTTAATTGTAACTCTTTCCTCATTCCATTGTTTTCCTTCTCCAGAGTCCAGTGTAATTTTATTCTTTCAGGTTTTGAGATGAAGAATAGGGTTTAAAAGGAGAATCGGAAATGGGATGATTCAGAAGAAGTGGAAATGAACACGGCTTCACAGAGAAAGTCTAGTGGACAAGGTTTTTGCCCCACTGAACTAAAAATGTTTTGGGAGGCTGAGCCAATGTCAAGAAAGCAACACAGACATTGTCCAGGGGAAAGTGAGGAGACAGCCCCATCCCAGGAGAGGATGAGTCACCAGAGAGTCTGGACTGAGGAGAGAAGCCTTGGACACGTCTCTTGTGTGGGAGAAAATGCTCTCAGAGTTCTCCCTCCTCTTATCACCAGCCAGCCCCTGAACTGGAAAAAGCTCCTAAATGTCACAGATGTGCGAAAAACTTTAGCCGAGTTTCTTATCTTTGTTGACATCAGAGACTCCACACATGAGAGAAGCCTCACAAGTGCAGTGGGTGTGGGCAAGGATTCAGTGAGTGCTCCCACCTCACTGCCCACCTGAGGACTCACACAGGGGAGAGACCATACCAGGGTGGGGAATGTGGGAAAAGCTTCACCCAGAGTTCCAGCTTCATTGTCCACCAGAGGATCCACACTGGAAGAAGCCTTATTAGTGCACCATCTGTGGGAAGAGATTCAACAGTTCCCACTTTAGCAATTGGCAAGTCCACACTGTGAGAGACTGTACAAGTGTGCTCAGTGTGGGAAAAGCTTCAATGACAGACCCAACTTGACTGCCCCCCAGAAAATCCACACTGGGGTAAAGCCATACAAGTGCCTTCAGCATGAGAGAAGCTTCACTAAGATCTCTGCCCTCACCCCGCACTGGGATACACATTAAAATGATATATCAGAGGACAGGAGAGATGTGCGGTGTTTGTAGAAAATTAGACACATCAACTCTGTGTTTTTTAAAGCTTCCTTCTGCTGTGGAGAGTTCTACTAGCCAGTCCCTGGCTTAGCAGTAAACTTCTTGACTATTGGATCTCAAGAACCATGTCCAGGAATAGAAATCAGCCTACAAAAGTAGAACTCTTTCTATTTCTGCCTGCAACTTCACGGTTCTGTCTCACTGTGGATTTCTATTTTGCTTTGCAGGGGAGGAGGCTCTAAAGCCCATAATAATCCCTGCCAGGAAACTAAAGTATCCTTGTTCTGAACAAAGAACGCGTGCCTAGTAGCCTGAGAACTGTTCCTGGGCCACATCAGAGAAGAAATTCTCCCCCACCTCCTGGGGAGCACATCTAGAATTTTAACAGCCTGGACATATTCTAAAGCAATAATTGACTTCTAGGCATTTACTGTTTTATACTACTGCTGCCTTCAAGGCAGATCACTACTCTGCAATGAAGTCACAACCTAAAAGGGAACAAAGGAAAGGAAGGACAGGTTAAGCCATTTGGGAAAAAACTAAATCTAAGCAACCTGATCTTAGAGCAACTGCAATATCTAGTTTAATTTTATAAGATTTCTCATTTTGCCATCACCCCCAACCCAGTTTCTGGTTTCTTCTCTCTTACACAGTTTTTACAAGTTTATAAGCACTGCTATTTATGATGAAAGTAAAGGTATTTCTCCCTCCACTTCCGTGGTTTTTGGTTGTAGTTTTCTCAATTAGAAACTTAACACTCATGTTGAAGCCTGCTGGATCCTGATAGGGATCAAAGTGTAGACCATGTTCAGGGAAGTAGGACAAGTAGAGACAGAATAAAGGGTAGGAAATGGGGAAAGGAGGAATAGAATTGGGTGGGAAGGATTTGAACTGTCACCAAGAATGGAGATCATAGGCATAAGGAAAGTGCAGGAACTGCATGAGACTCTGACTGCAGATGAAAGGAAGGCTGGGTATGAAGGGCAGTAGAAGCAACATCAATTTAGAACAAGGCATAAATATTTAAGCTGTTGTGAAATACCCATGCATATAAAGTGGGAGATGGATGGTACATCATCCATGGTCCTTGGCCTGTACACTTGAGCTATTAGTACCTTAGCTAAGCTATGGTGAGAAGTAAGAGTGATGACGATATTGACCTTTCTAAGGAATTAAATTTGAGCAAAGAAGAATGCATATTCTACCTCAAAGGGAAAGAAGGAGAAGCAAATGCAGGACAGGATATACTTCAGTGTTTCCCCAGCTTCAGCCTTGCTGGTGTCCCACACATTCCCCTGGATACAGCCCCCTTGAGCATGGCCCTTATGACAAGCTCTGCAGGCCAGTTCCCAGTGTCACACACTTACCTCTACTTTACACAGAGGCAAAAAGGAACATCTTCCAAAATCCTCAGCAAGGGCAAAGAGTTGGGCTTGAATGTGACCTGTTTGGGACAGCCTGACTTCATTGGAGATTCTTGGTGGGGAAGGGGACAGCCCATGGGATAGTTATATTACTGAAGGGCTTTGGATATGAGCTCTAAGAAGTTAGAATTTATAAATGAGCAGTCAGTGAAAGTAAATGAAAATGCTTAGGAAGTACCTACTCATTGAAGCCTTGCTGTCAGGATTCTCCCACTCATGCATTTGCAGTGGCCGGGGAAACTGTGATGCAACGGTTGAACTTCTTGCAGTTTTAAGTTGCCTCTACCCTTCATATTGCTCTATTCTTGAGTACACTGGGCAGAAAAAGGAACACAATACTAGAACTCATAATCCTTGCCCATGAACTATTTTGGATGGTCTGGAGTAGACAGGTAAGAACTAGAGAATTCATTCATTGAAGGAATATTTGATTGGTACCAGGTACTGTAATAGGAGCTAGATACATGGCAGTGAACAGACACTGTATCTTCTAGAAACATTCTCAGTGGACCCATCAGAGGTGCTAGTACCAATCAGGCAGCACCACCTGGCCACCAATCCCCCAAGATTTGAATGTCAGCTCAGCAGGGCCTCTCTTCTAACCTTCCAAGTTCTGATAAACACAAACTTTTTCTTGTATTCTCCCAATCCCATGTATGGTAGCTGCTTCCTATAGTTACGGTCTCTGTTATCTTACTGTCTACCTCTCATTGCTCAGTACAGCCTGTTACTGCACTACCCACTTGAGAATGAATTTGAAGTAGGCAGCACCCCAAAGTCTACAGAGTTCTTCAGATATGTAACATTACCCTCTTGGTTTGGTTTAACCCTTTAGAGTTTCATTAAATAGCCGAGTTTTCCCCCTATAAACTAACTAGAGTTCTTAATATGGTTTCTTTACCTCTTTCCTTCACTGATACATTTTAACTAATTGATCAAAGTTTTCAATTGACACTATTCCTTTTTTTCCAAGGATTCCTAATCATTTCCCATAGACTGGATCAGATATTCTCACTATAATACAGAGATATGTAGGGCAAAGCCTACTGATCACCACCCTTTTCACATATCTATTGTGGTTCCTCAGCCTAAGGTAGTAGATGGGTGGTCACAGCCAAAGCAAGGGCTGAGCTGCTAAAATCTCCTTACACCACTTTCCTTTCCTCTTGCCACCTCTTCTATGCCTCTCCTGTAAGGGACTGCCTTACCAGTCAGTTTAGGAACAGCCTGAAACTTACAGTATCCTGACCCAGAGTGCCCATTTTATTGTGCACTTCCCCATGAGTGGATCCTCATTTTCACTGTTATCAGGTCCAGCCTCCTTGCAGTCCTGTTGCTCACCCTTGGCTTGGCTTCTGGGTGGAAACAAGAGAAAGACTGAGTACTCTTTACTTGTGGAGAACATAGGATACTAGCAAGGAACCTTGCCATTGCCAGTAGTAGAATAGTTAACTGCCTGAAAATTTTTGAAGATGTGGCTGCCCTACTCTGGCATCTGGAGGAAGCTGTGCTCCTGAAGCTGCTTAGGCAATCCCCATTCACTTGGCCATTCTAGTGACACCTATCAAGTGTTTTCATAAATTTTGGATTACCGAGAATTGCAATTTAAGTCTGGGTTTCCTGGTAGCTCCAATCCATACCTGCTGTCTACATTAAGTGACTTGCATAGTGACTGGAATAAAAGATCAGGGTTTTAACATGGGTCAAATCAATTTGACCCATGTTAAAATTTGAAAATCTTTGAATTTGAAAATCTTTAATTACTTGTCTCTCACACTCAACAGTCTTTCTGGCTAACAATTCCTATGCAACCTCAGAGCAGAGACCTTACATTACACGTTAATATCACCAGCACAGTATTATTAGGATGTATATTTATAAGATTAATGTCTATCATCCCCTAAAAAGAATGCAAGTTTCCTAAAGAGTAGGGAATTTGATTTGTTCATTGTGGAATCACAGGGTCTCAAATAATGTGTGGTGCTAAATAAATATTTAGCAGATGAATGAGAGGGTGAAAATATATGAGAGGCCTGATGAATCAACAGCATATCAAGAACTTAAGCATTATAAAGAATACCAAAGGATACTAAGAATGATCATTGGCTGTGACACTGTCTGGCCCAATTTCACTACTTTCATTCTAGGGCAGGATTTCTTAACCTGGTCACTATTGTTTGGGGCTGGATAGGTCTTTGTTGAGGGTGGGAGGCTGGGTATGTGTCCTGTGCATTCTGGGTGATTTAGCTGCATCCTTGGCCTCCTCCCATAGATGGCATTAGCATCCCCCAGTGGTGACAACACAATTGCCTCCAGACATTGCCAAAGGTCTTTGAGGGACAAAATCACCCCTGTTGAGAACCCCTTGTCTAGGAACATAACATTAGACCAGGCTGTAAGAGTCTTCCATCTGTCCACCTAGTCTTCCTACTGAGCAGATCTGGACTTCCTTACGTTTTACAAATCTAATCCAATTGTATAACTACTTTGCTCAAAAGCCTTCAAGACTTTCTATTGCCACTGAAATAAGCCAGGATCTCTAGCTTGCAAAACTCTCTCTGGCATTCAAGGTTCAACCTATCTCAGTCTCATTGCCCATTACCCTATAGACATCCTACAATCTAGTACAGGTGACCTGGTCCCAGGTCCTGGAACAGTCTCTGTGCTTTCCAGTCTTAATGCCCTTGCCCACTAAACTTTACTTGCCTAGAATACTCTTTCCCCAGGGCTGATTCATTCTATTTACACAGCACACAAGAGGCTGTGAGTTGGCATCCCTCCCAAACAGGCAAGGAAGGGTACCTAAGCCTATGCATTAGAAATGTAGAAATAAGTAAAAAAATTTAAGTTCTCAAGGAGAATACCATCGAAGAAGGCAAGAAAACCACAAGCTGAGGGCTGCTAACACCACTGCCACGTTCCTGAAACCTCCTAATTCTTTAAACTCCTTGGCTCTGTCTGTAAATCTCTCTCTGGACGTCTTACTTCCTGCCACCTAGTACCAGAATTAGTTTCCGGCTGGTTTATCTATTCAACCAGATTGGGAGCTCTCTGAGGGCAAGTGGCATGCATGAATTTTCTTTGTGTCTCCACTGCCCAGCACAAGGGTGCACAAGGAGGCAATAGGGCCTTAATGAATGAGTGTTTTATTAGAGTGAATTTCAAGGGCAAGAGGCTCAGAGCCTTTCAAAGGAGTTGTCAGCTGGGAACTGAACAGCAGGTCCCTAATGGGCACCAAGACCGACAGGCTCTATTCCCACACCTCCCGAGAATGGAAAGTGGTGCCAGCTCACCAACACTCCGAGGGGAAGGAATGAGTAGAGGGCTGAGTCACAGCAATAAGGGGCCACTATGATAATAAAAGCCAAGCTCACATTCCCACATCACCAGACAGGCCAACTTTTCCAAACTGAAGATCGGAATCTTCCACAGGGCAAGCCGGGACTTCCAGAAGGCCAGATGCATGAGCAAGGCCTAAGTCCGAAGAGGTGCAGGTCACAGAAACATTGCATAGACCACCTTCCCCACCCGTTCTCTCTCATTGACAGCACTCCTGGCTAAAGAGTAAACAGCCTCCACAAAGGCTCACCAAGACCAAAACCGCTGTTGAGACTGATCAGTCCTCAGTCTGGGTGTTTGTTAATATCTTCTATTAGTTTATTGGTGTTCTGGTTGCAGAATGCTTCCACTTCTGTACTTGGATAGGACCTCAGACCATTCCTAGTTGGGCTCACACCAAGTTACAGGTGCAACAATAATGAAATAAATGTAATGCTTGTGTGCTTATCACAGTTCTAAACACATACATACTAACTCATCCTCACAAGTTTTATGACATCAACATTATGATTTTCACCCTCCAAACAAGGAACCTGAGACAAAATTTAAGTGTATAATGTCAAAAGTGAGACTAAAACTCGTAACTAACCCAATGTTTTATCCCGTTCTTATTAATATTACATAGGTGCCACAAAAACATTCACACTTAAAAATAAAGTCTCGTAACCCTGGCTGGTATGGTTCAGTGGATTGAGTGCAGGCTGGTAAATCAAAGGGTTGCTGGTCCAATTCCAGGTCAGGGCACATAACTGGGTGTGGGCCAGGTCCCAAGTAGGGGGTGCATGAGAGGCAACCACACATCAATGTTTCTCTCCCTTTCTTTCTCCCTCCCTTGTCCTCTGTCTAA